GGCAGACAGAGAAACAAGTCCTCTCTGGGCAGAAACTTCCACAAGTCAGGCCTGAGAACGTTTACAAATGAAGATCAATAATGAAGACAGAAGATCAAAGGTCACCAGTCTGACTGGTGGCAGTGGGGGAGGAGCAGTGACCTGGAAGCTCCCAGGAGGCCGCCAGCCCTGGGCAGAGGCTCTCAGGCAGAAGCAACACATCCAGTAGACAGAAAAGTCACCCAACCAGCAGGAATAGACCCGCAGGGGTGGACAAAACCAGACAGGAACAGCCCCTGCGGCATGAACGAAACCAAACAGATATCCAGAGAGGAAACAGGACCTGCCATGAAAGTCCAGGATGGCCATGTGTCCTCCCCAGTGACTTCCCCGCAAGATGTCGGCCGATTACGAAGCGGGAAGGCGTAACTTCACTGTGGAGACGCTGGCAGACGCTGCCTTCACCAGGGGCCAAAGTCACCAGACAGGAGACACAGCAACTTCCCGCTCTCCCTGGCCTACTGCTGGGGAAGCTCCATCACCACTGGGCCTTTCTTGCCCCAAATGTGTAACTGCACATCGAATCGTGAGCAGACGCCAGGCAAATCCAAAAGGATGCAGACCACGAAAGCCAGGACTAGAGCCCACGGCGCAGGACAGCTGGACGCCACATGGGACCCCGGGCGGCTCACACCACAGAGGGGGTGGGAGCAGATCGGCCCTGAACACGGCCTGTGACTGTCGCCAGGGCCTTATGACGTCAGCGAGTGGAACCGAGGCTCCGTGAGGTCCCAGCATCAGGGAAAGCAGAGAGAAGCGCCTATGGGTGAGCTTCCACAGCTCTTCTGTAAGTCTAAAAAGTTTCTCAAAACAAAAAGTCTGAACATTTTTTGGCCAGGTGTGGTGGTTCATGCTAGTAGTCCCAACACTTTGGGAGGCCGAGGCAGGAGGACTGCTTGAGCCCAGGAGTTTGATACCAGCCTGAGTAACAAGATAGAACCTCATCTATCCAAAAAAAAAAAAAAAGACAAAAATTAGGCCTGGGTGTGGTGGTGTGCCCAGGACCTCTGGTCCAGCTGAGGGGGGAGGACCGCTCAAGTCCGAGAGAATGAGGATGCAGTGAGCCATGACCTCACCACTGCACTCCAGCCTGGGTGACACAGCCAGACCCTGCCTCAGAAAAAAAAAAAACAGGAAGGCTACACCTAAGAATAACGAGACTCTTCAGTGAGGGGGGAGGGGCTCGGCGGGAGTGGAGTGAGGCGGTCGGCTGCAGGTCTGACTTCTTGAACCATGAACGCATGTCACTTGCAACAATTAAATCAACTAGGGTCTCTGAAATGGAACACAAACAGGAATGCATGGACCACACCACAGATCAAATGAACAACACATTCACACTGAGGGGAGCAGCAGAACAAGCCTGGAAAACTCAGGTGCATGGATGCTGGATGTGGGTGCACAGGTGACAGACACAAGCGCTCCAGACACACACGGGGCTCCAGACACACACGGGGCTCCAGACACACGGAGCCCTAGACACAAGGGATCCAGACACACACAGAGCCCCAGACACAAGGGATCCAGACACACACGGAGCTCCAGACACACATGGAGCCCCAGACACACATGGGGCTCCAGACACAAGGGATCCAGACACACATGGAGCCCCAGACACACACGAAGCCCCAGACACACACAGAGCCCCAGACACAAGGGATCCAGACACACATGGAGCCCCAGACACAAGGGATCCAGACACACATGGAGCCCGAGACACACACGGAGCTCCAGACGGCGCCCACAGTGCCCTCACCTTGGTTTCTAAATATCATTCCCCACTAAAGGGGCTGGGTGCAGTGACCCACACCTGTAATCCCAGCACTTTAGGAAGATAAGGCAGGTGGATTACCTGAGTTCAGAAGTTCGAGACTAGCCTGGGCAACATGGCGAAATCCCATCTCTACTAAAAATACAAAAATTACCTGGGTATCGTGGAAGGTACCTGTAATCCCAGCCACTCAGGACAGTGAGACACAAGAATCACTTGAACCCAGGGGGCAGAGGTTGCAGTGAGCTGAGACTGTGCCACTGCACTCCAGCCTGGGCGACAGAGCGAGACTCTGTCTAAAAAATAAAACAAAACAAAAAATGATAACAAATCTCGCCGGGCGCGGTGGCTCAAGCCTGTAATCCCAGCACTTTGGGAGGCCGAGGCGGGTGGATCATGAGGTCAAGAGATCGAGACCATCTTGGTCAACATGGTGAAACCCCGTCTCTACTAAAAATACAAAACATTAGCTGGGCATGGTGGCGCGTGCCTGTAATCCCAGCGACTCAGGAGGCTGAGGCAGGAGAATTGCCTGAACCCCGGAGGCGGAGGTTGCGGTGAGCCGAGATCGCGCCATTGCACTCCAGCCTGGGTAACGAGCGAAACTCCATCTCAAAAAAAAAAAATAATAAAAAAATAAATAATAATAACAAATCTCTTTCTCTACTAAAGTCAACCAGGCTCCTTGGAGAAATGACGATTCTAGGGCTGGGGTGGGAACAATACAGGTGAGCCCGTCGCGTTCGCTGGACCAGCAAGTCTGTGCTCCAGGAATGGACTGGGCGCCGGCCGAGGGCAGGCTCACACACTTGGAAAGGCAGAGTAAGAGACGTGGTAAACGATCCGAACCCCTACAAAAACAAGAGCCCACAAGGCCACACTGAGGAACCAACGGCAAAGGAGGGGAAGCTCTTCCCGGTACAAACCCAATCCGTGATCATCAGAGGAGGGATGGGATTAGAAGCCACCATCTGGCAACCAGCGCAACAATCCTAATAATCACAGTGGACACTATAGCTACCAAGTCAAAGCTTAGAGATAGCAGCTATGGAGTCTCAAGACAGATCCAGTCCTAGGAGGCACGTATCAATTACAGAGGGAAAGCTACGTGTGCACGAAGGGTAAAAGACAAACGCGTCCTGCGAGGAGACGGGGATGCGGGGAGGGAGCGGCAGCATCCTCCCGAGACCTGAGGACTTGTACTTCAGTCTGAGACCTTGGTGCAGGGATGGGCAAATAAACAAATGCAAAATAATAAGGGCCTCGAAGACCAGGTGCGGTGGCTCACGCCTGTAATTCCAGCACTTTGGGAGGCCAAGGTGGGCGGATCATGAGGTCAGGAGTTCAAGACCAGCCTAACATGGAGAAACCCCATCTCTACTAAAGATACAAAATTAGCCAGGCGTGATAGCGAATGTCTGTTATCCTAGCTATTCAGGAGGCTGAGGACGGAGAATCGCTTTAACCCAGGAGGCAGAGGTTGCGGTGAGCTGAGATCACGCCACTGTACTCTATCCTGGGCAATAAGAGTGAAACTCTGTCTCAAAAAAAAGAAGAAAAGAAAAAAGAATAAGGGCCTTGAACCAGGTCTAGCATATATAGGCCGCGCACGGTAGCTCACGCCTGTAATCCCAGCACTTTTTGGGAGGCTAAGGCGGGAGAATCACCCGAGGTCAAAAGTTTAAGACCAGCCTTGCCAACAAGGAGAAACCCTACTAAATACAAAAATCAGCTTCATGTGGTGGGGGGTGCTGGTAGTGCCAGCTACTTGGGAGGCTACAGCAGGAGAATCGCTTCAATTTGGGAGACGGAGGCTTCAATGAGCCGAGACTGCACCACTGCACTCCAGCCTGAGTGACCGGGCAAGACTGCCTCAAAAAAACAAAAACAGGTCTACCACACGCACAGTTCTGACCCACACAGGTGGTACCATGAATTGTTGGGGAAGGAAGCGTATTCAGTCTATGATACCATGCCGGGGAAGAGAGAAACTGGATTTTGATTCCGTATCAGTTGACAACGATAATTAGTAACACTGACACAGCCCTCACTGTGGTGCTGGAGGAAGTCTCAGCACTCTGCAGAGCAGTGAGTCCCCAAAACAGCCCTCTGCGACAGGCGAGGTCACCACCCACGTGAGACATACAAAGTGAAGAGATGGCTTCATAGCAGCATGTCAGGATTTGAACCCAGGCGGCCTGCTCTTACGTGAAACTTAATATGTATAAAACCCTATGATCAGGAAAATATGTAAGAGAATGTCCTCCTGACCCTTTTTAAGGTAGAACAAGAATATCTCCAACCAAACCCCAAAAGCATGACCCATAAAAAATAAAAGTCAGACTGACTAAATTGGCTAAATGAAGAATTTTGTTTCACCAAAGTATACCACAAATGGGCCGGGCGCAGTGGCTCACACCTGTAATCCCAGCACCTTTGGAGGCCAAGGTGGGTGGATCACCTGAGGTCAGGAGTTCAAGACCAGCCTAACCAACATGGAGAAACCTTGTCTCTACTAAAAATATAAAAATTTTATTGGCCGGGTGCAGTGGCTCAAGCCTGTAATCCCAGCACTTTGGGAGGCCGAGGTGGGCAGATCATGAGGTCAAGAGATTGAGACCATCCTGGCCAACATGGTGAAACCCTGTCTCTACTAAAAATACAAAAATTAGCTGGGCTTGGTGGCGTGAGCCTGTAGCCCCAGCTACTCGGGAGGCTGAGGCAGGAGAATTGCTTGAAGCTGGGAGGCAGAGGTTGCAGTGAGCCGAGATTGTGCCACTGCACTCCAGCTTGGCACCTGGTGACAGAGAGAGACTCTGTCTCCAAAAAAAAAGGCCGGGCGCGGTGGCTCACGCCTGTAATCCCAGCACTTTGGGAGGCCGAGGCGGGTGGATCACGAGGTCAAGAGATCGAGACCATCCTGGTCAACATGGTGAAACCCCGTCTCTACCAAAAATACAAAAAATTAGCTGGGCATGGTGGCGTGTGCCTGTAATCCCAGCTACTCAGGAGGCTGAGGCAGGAGAATTGCCTGAACCCAGGAGGCGGAGGTTGCGGTGAGCCGAGATCGCGCCATTGCACTCCAGCCTGGGCAACAAGAGCGAAACTCCATCTCAAAAAAAAAAAACAAAAAAACAGGAGGAAGGTGCATGTTCCTTCCCTGCTACCCTGTAAGTCACTCCACACTTACCAGCTCAAAACAAGTGCTTTTGATCTTGGCTCCTGTGAGAGGAATCTGGGGGAAGCTTAGCCAGGTGCCTCGGGTTTACGGTCCCCCTTGAAGCTGCAGTCATACCACGGACCAGGGCTGTGGCCTCATCTGAAGGCTTGACTGGGGCTGGGCTCCGCCTCTGAGCTCACTCACACAGGCTGGCATGCAAGGTTGAGTTCCGTGCTGGCTGTAGGTGGAAACCCCCCAACCAGTTTCTTGCCAGGTGAGCTTCCCCACAGGATGCCCACAGCCTGGCAGGGGCTTTCATCACAGCAAGCTCGCCAGGGAGTGGGAGAGAGCACCCAGGACAGGTGCCCCAGCCTTTCTCAACCTCATCTCAGACGTGACATCTTTCCCTTCCGCTGTGTGGGTGCAAGTCTCCAGGTGGAGCCCTAGAACTAAAAGGAAAAGAAAACCTCGATTTAACATGGGATAAAGCCACAGCAGCTGCCGGTCCCACCATGGGAATTTCAGCGCTGGGTTATGACCAAGCTCACTTTCCACCCCGTCCAACTGTGCAAACCTCCCCTGCCCAGGCCCCTGTACCAGAGGCTAAGAATCCGAACCCCAGTCAGGAAGTCCAGGTGGGTTCAAACAGCCAGAAGGGCATTTCAGGCAAAATGTGTCCCAAATCTCCAAACCATGCCCAGAGCTCAAACCTCCCCAGGGAGGTCATCCCAAGGAGACTAGCTGGCAGATGCTCAGGCTGTGGGGCAGACGCCACTTCCAAAACCCAGGAGCTGGGGACCACACAAGCGCCTAATGCCAAAGGCGCCAGCGGAGGGATGCCCTGTGCCCCCAGCCAGGTAACCCGCTGCACCCTAATTTCACCAGGAAACATCTGTGATAGAGGTAGCTAAGCCAGCCTGGCCTCCCAGGTCCGCTCATCTTTTTTCCCTCCATTCTGATTTGCTACATTGAAAACACGTGAGGGGAGTAGAAAACCTTCCTATTCCTGTCTCAACAACCCCTTTTCTTTCTCTTCCGAGATGGAGTCTTGCTCTGTCTCCCAGGTTGGAGGGCAGTGGTGCCATCTCCGCCCCCCAGGATCAAGCAATTCTCCTGCCTCAGCCTCCTGAGTAGCTGGGATTACAGGCGTGTGCCACCGCGCCTGGCTAATTTTTGTATTTTTGGTAGAGACGGGGTTTCACCATGTTGGTCAGGCTGGTCTCGAACTCCTGACCTTGTGCTCCGTCTGCCTCGGCCTCCCAAAGTGCTGGGAATACAGGCGTGAGCCACCGCGCCTGGTCGACCCTTGTTAAAACAGTCTCGTTTGGCCCTAAAATGGGATTTGCAGGCTTCCTGGGTTAAGGAGGTTGCACTCCACTAAAAATAAAATAAAATAAAATAAAAATAAATAAAAAGCCACCAAACGGGGACTCGGCTCTCGGGAGTTTTGGTGTCTTTTTTTTCTTTTCTGTGGACGCGCCACGCAGCGCTCGTGGGCTTCGGGGCGTGAGGGTGGCCGTGGACCCACGGACGTGAAAATGCGCAAGCTCGTTTGCGAAACGGCCCCGGCTCCCGGGCAGAAGCGGAGGGGTGCGCATCCAGGGAGACCCCGCGTTTCCGCAGCGTTTTCCGCGCAATCCGCCGGCCACGGGAGAGGACCCCCCAGAAGCGAATCTGGGCCGGGGAACCCCGGGCGCCCGTGCACTCAGTACCAGTACCGGCACGCAGCACCGAGCACCCAGCACGCAGCACCGAGCTCGCAGCACCCACCGACAGCCGGACGCGGTCTCCGCTGCAGGCATAGCGCTCGGCCTCCGCGCCTTCGCCACAAAGAGACGCTGGCGGGCGGGGCCTGAGAGGCGCGCGGTGCAGGCGGCTCGGAGCACAGGCCTAGAGGACCCAGGTGGGCTCCACGGGGCGCCCGCGGGGCCGGAAATGACGCGCAGAACCCGTCACCCGGCTCCTCGCTGCCCCACGGGCGTGGCCGCGGAAAAGCGCCACGGCCCACAACGTCCCCGCGGCTGCGCGTTGGTTCCGCTCGGGCCGTTCCACTGCAGGCAGACGGGGGCACAACAGTGACCCCGCGGCTGCGCGTTGGTTCCGCTCGGGCCGTTCCACTGGAGGTAAATGAGGGGACAACACGGCGAGATTTTTTCCCCTTGGCGGCCCGATGGTTCCGCCCGGGCCGTTGCACCGCAAGAGACGCGGAACACGGCGCGCTGAGATCCTCCCCACCCCGCGGCCGCCCGTTGGTTCCGCCCGGGCCTTTCCACTGCAGACGGACGGGGGGGGCGCATGACGCGCTCAGCGCACCCCCGCGGCCCGTCCGTTGGTTCCGCCCGGGCTGTTCCACCGCTGGCACGTCAGGGCGGGATCGGACAGTCTGTGGAGACAGCGGCCTCGGAGGGCTTGCCGCCCAGGTCTGGGTTCAAGGAATAGGAACTCCATCGGGTAGGCTTAACTTGGAAGACTCAAATGCGTCTCACGGCGGAAGGGGCCACGCTCCGCGCGGCCTGAGGGGAAGCGTCGGGAGCAAGCTGGCCTCGGAGTTGCAGGGGGCGGGGCCGCCGCGCCGCCGAGGACCCGCCCCAGGGCGCTGATTGGCTTGTGGCGCGCTCCGGGGCGGGGCCTCCGCTGCCAGGCAGGCGCGGGGGCTGTTGGGGGCACGTCCGGCGCAGACACGCCTGCGGCCCCGAGGAGCCGCGCGGTGGACCTTTCTCGACGGTTTTCGTCGCCTTACCTTCCCGCTTACTTTTCAGGAACGAACTTTCGGCTGAAGGGCTCTTTAGAGATTACTTTTGACGGGGTGCAGTGGCTCGCACCCGTAATCCCAGCACTCTGGGAGGCCGAGGCGGGCGGATCGCCCGAGGTCAGGAGTTCGGGACCAGCCTGGCCAACATGGCGAAACCCCGTCTCTACTAAAAATACGAAAATTAGCCGGGCGTGATGTTTTTGAGAGGGGGTCTAGCTCTGTGGCCCGGGTTGGAGTGCAGGGGCGCGATCTCGGCTCACTACAACCCCTGCCTCTGCAACCTCCACCTCCCGGGTTCGAGCAGTTCTCTCTCTGCCTCAGCCTCTCAAGTAGCTGGGATTACAGGTGCCACCACCCCTGGCTAATGTTTTTGTAGAGACTGCGTTCCACCATGTTGGCCAGGCTGATCTTGAACTTCTGACCTCGTGATTTACCCGCCTCGGCCTCCCAAAGTGCTGGGATTACAGCTGTAAACCACAGTACCCTGCCTCTCAAAATTTTTATAGCAAAGCCTTATATTTCATGAGGGACCATGCGTTTTATTTTGTCTTTGAGATAGGGTTCTCCATGCTTTGCCCAGGCTGGTCTCAAACTCAGGACCCTCTGGCCTCAGCCTCCCGAGTAGCTGGGCCTGCAGGTGGCCGCCACCATGCTGGGCTTGGGCTGTGCATTTTACTGATTTTGGAATGTCTGGGAGGCCGGAGTACCTTCCTCTCTTTCCCTCCCGGAAAGGACCTCCCACCTTGGCTTCCCAAAGCGCTGGGCTTACAGGTGTGAGCCACCATGCCACACCTCTCTTTGCTATTTTTCCTGGGAGGGGTGTATTAATAATTTTAATTTTAAATTTCTTTGATTATGTTCCAGATTGATTATTGATCATTTACTTCTTAGCTAATTATAGTTTTTTTTGAATCATCAGTTTCTACCCTTTGACAGTTTTTTTCTTTTTTTTTTTGGAGACAGAGTCTCACTCTGTTGCCCAGGCTGGAGTGCAGTGGCGCAATCTCGGCTCACTGCAACCTCTGCCTTCTGGGTTCAAGCAATTCTCCTGCCTCAGCCTCCTGAGTAGCTGGGATTACAGGTGCCCGCCGCCATGCCCCGCTATTTTTTTTTTTTTTGTATTTTTTAGTAGAGATGGGGTTTCACCATATTGGCCAGGCTGGTCTCAAACTTCTGACCTTATGATCTGCCCGCCTTGGCCTCCCAAAGTGCTGGGATTACAGGCGTGAGCCACCACGCCTGGCGACAGTTTTTCTGTGTTGTTTGTATGAATGACATGAGCTGTATCTGTATTGAGAACACAGACCTGTTGTATCACTGTAGATGTTTTACTGGCTTGCATGTCCTCTTCTGTTTATGATGCATATTGATGAATTTCTGTTCACATGACATGGAATCAGTTAGGAATCGGGAAGCCCTGGCTGTGAGTGAGACTGATGGGTCCAGGCACGGTTCAAACCCCGTCCCCAAAGCATGTCCCTGGCTCCCTGGGATCCTCCAGGATCTGCTGCTCTTTCGACACAGCCTGGGCAGAGCCCTCCACAGCCTTCCTCGGCCTGTCTGCTGTCTGCTGACCTCAGGAAAGGGTCTTCCCAGGGTGAGGGGCCCTTGGGATTCCTTTCCTCTGCCTTCAGTGCCTAGGTGATCTTCTAGAAGGCGGGAAGGAAAGCAGTCATGGCCAGTTCTGCGCCGCCCCCACGGGGTTCCCCCGGCCCACAGACTCCTCTGTGTCCCCCAGCCAGGCTCAGTCTAGGTCTGGGCTCCCTCTGGGCAGGGAGGGTGACACCTGCCCTCCCAGAGGAGCTGAAGTTCCCTAAGGGATGTCGAGGACAGCAGGGAGGCGTGGACAGAGGCCCCAGAGATGGGTCTGTGTTAGGGTCTGGCGGGTGAGGAGGAAGGGCAGAGGGTCCGCCTGGACACCCAGCCTACAGGCTACTCCGCCACCTGTGGGGGGGGGGAGCAGCAGCCGCTCACGCCTCTGTAATTTGTCCTCATCAGCAGGTGGGGAAACTGAGGCCGGGGAGTTCTGCAGGCCAGGGTCACTCATGGGCAGGTTCCTTCAGCCTGTGGACCTTCCACGCTCAGGCTGGTCATGCTTTCCTGGGCCATCCTGTTTCCCAGAGCACACTGCTGTGTGTCTCCGAGTGTGTGTGTGTCCATGGCATCCATGTGTATTTTTCTGTATGTCTGAGTCTGTGTGGTGTGTGTGTATCTGTGTGTCTCGCTGAGTGTGTGGTGCCTGTGTGTGTGTCTCAGTGGCATCCATGCATATTTGTGTGTGTGTGTGGTGTCTGTGTGTCTCAGTGGTGTCCATGTGTATTTTTCTGTGTGTTTGTGTCTGTGAGTCTGTGTGTCTCTGTGTGTGTCTCTGTGTATGTGAATCTGTGTGTGTGTGTGAATCTGTGTGAGTCTGTGTCTCTGTGTATGTGAATCTGTGTGTGTGTGTGGAATCTGTGTGTTTGTATGTTTGTGTGTGTCTGTGTGAATCTGTGTGAGTGTGTCTTTGTGTATGTGAATCTGTGTTTGTATATGTGTATGTATCTGTGTGTGGAATCTGTGTGTGTGTCTATGTGTGTGTCTGTGTGAATCTGTGTGTGTGTCTCTGTATGTGAATCTGTGTTTGTGTATGTGTGTGTGTCTGTGGAATCTGTGTGTGTGTATGTGTGTGTGTGAATCTGTGTGTGTGAGTCTGTGTGTCTATGTGAATCTGTGTGTTTGTATGTCTGTGTCTCTGTGTCTGTGTATGTGAATCCGTGTGTTTGTATGTCTGTGTCTCTGTGTGTGTGTGTGTGTGAATCTGTGTGTTTATATGTCTGTGTCTCTGTGTGTCTCTGTGTGTGAATCTGTGTGTTTGTATGTCTGTGTCTCTGTGTCTGTGTATGTGAATCCGTGTGTTTGTATGTCTGTGTCTCTGTGTGTGTGTGTGTGAATCTGTGTGTTTATATGTCTGTGTCTCTGTGTGTCTGTGTGTGTGAATCTGTGTGTATGTCTGTGTCTCTGTATGTGTGTGTCTGTGAATCTGTGTGTTTGTATGTCTGTGTCTCTGTATGTGTGTGTCTGTGAATCTGTGTGTTTGTATGTCTGTGTCTCTGTATGTGTGTGTCTCTCTGTGAATCTGTATGTGTATTTGCCCCTCTTTCTGTCTGGCTTCCTGTCCCCTCTGCACAGAGCAGTGGGGTGGGGATCTTGGTCCTGGGGCTTCTCAGCAGGATGTGGGCCTGGGCAGCCGTGGGTGAGGCCTGAGCACAGGCCCACAGGCCTACTGCGTGGGGTAGTCGAGCCAGCTCCTCTGTGGCTCTCGGGTCCCCACCACCCCTCCCTGGGCGCTGCCTGTCCTGGCCACCCCTCCTGTCCACCCTGCTTCCGCAGGAGCCACCTTCCTCTTGCAGGTGCATGCCGTGGTGGTGGGGGCTCCTGAGGAGGCTGTGGCCTCTGTCTGCCCGTCTTGGCTTTTTGGTGTTGCCAGACCCTGCAGGCAGCCCAGGCCACGGCCGAGGTCTTTCTGGGGTGGGATGTGCTGGAAGCAGCTGATCCACAGTGACCGACTAGCTCCTGCCTTCCCCTACGTCCCAGCACCACCAACCTTCCCGGGCACCCTGTACCCGTCCGCCCTGCTCTCCCTGATCCTGCCACCCACCTCCAGCCAGACTTCCAGTTCCAGGGGCCAGGCTGCCTGGGCTCCCAGTGGGACAGGCCTCGCCCAGAGCCCGCAGGTGCCATGGGACTTGGGCTGGGTCTTAGGGCCTGGCTGCCGCCCCTTCGGGCCTGGCCTGAGGAGACCCCATGGCTGAGGGAGGCAGGGTGGGGGTGCCCGGCCCAGCACAGAGGTACCCAGGGTGCAGACAGGGACCCTGATGCCACTGCTTCAGGCTGGAAAAGGTTTCCAAGGCCCCGAGCCTGAGGCTGGCAGCCTTGTGCAGCCACACCGATGGGGTGGGGCCCGAGGATGTCTTGGGGCCTCTGTGCTCCCCAAAGCCAGGAAGGTTAAGGCTTGATTGACAGCCTCTTCCAGGAGGGGGGAGGCAGGGAGGCTCCAGGGCTGATCCTCAAGAGCCAGTAGGGAGGGGCCCACAGCCCAGGCTTTCACGTCCCCAAAACGGGCAGGGTGCTGGGGGCGCAGGTGCCCACAGGGTGGTGGTTTTGCGTTTTGGTCTCTCCTGGCCTTGCATGTGTGTAGGGCAGACGCGCCTGGCAAAGCCTTGTGCCACATTCATCTGGGGCCTCATTAGGACAACAGGGATGGGGTGGGGGGGCCGGGGGGGCCAGGGACCTCGTCACCTGGGACCACGTCGCTGGAGGGAAGATGGAAGCCGATGTCAACACCTAGGCCGGGCCGAGGGGCCAGGGGTCCTCACCTGGCTTGTGGCTGCCCCTGACGTAGGCAGCCCGGATGGAGGGGCCCTTCCAACTCTGCTGGCCCCGGGGATGCAGGGACTCAATTCCCCTCTGGTCTGTGGCCCTTCTGGGAGCAACACAGCCTGCCCAAGTCGACTTGCCCCTCAGCTTTGCCCCTTCTGTCGAGGACTGGGCTTTGCTACCCACCCCCCAGGGCAGCACTCCCCCTCCCGCCCAGAAGAGGCAGCAGCACCCCCAGCCCTGGGGACACCACAGAGCCCCTTGGGAAGGTCACCCCGCTGGCCCCATGTCATTTAACAGATGGGCATTTCTGGGCTGGCATTTAATGGGGGTGACCCTGCACAGCCCCTCTGTGTTGGTTACAAGGTGTCAGAAGAAAGCTGTTATTAACCCAACTTCTTTTTTACAAGTCTTGTTTATTGAAAGGATCTGAAAATTGTAGTAAGGCTCTCAATGACATTTAATAAATTTTCAAGAAATTAATATGAAACATTAAAATTTACTTAAAAAATCGCAAGTTTTCTAGATCATTCCCATCTCAGGCTGCTTTAGAGCTCAGTTCATGCCTTTTGTTCAGGTGAGTGACTGGAATTCCGAACATGGCTGTCTTCCGGCCCTAATGCTGGGCACTGGTCCCTCTCTCCTCCTGCGCCCGTGGCTGGGCGGGCGGAGGCTTCACCTGTGCTCAGGGTCATGGCTGACTTACAGCCAGGCCCACTGCCCAGAATCACACCCCGGGATTTTGGACGCTGAAGTTTGCAGAGTTGAGGTGCTCAGATGGGGGTGAGAAGGGCAGACACGTGCCTGGGCTGGGCCGGGCAGCTGCGGGCAGCACCTCTCCAAACTTCCTGTCCTTACAATCCAGCAGATGAGCAGGTACTCAAAAGATGGATGCCTGGGCAGTAGCGACCAGGACCCCAGGCCCTGACCACAGCCTCCACACACCTGTGCCCGCTGTGCCTGTGGAAGACATGGGCACCGGGGCGCACAGTGCCCACATGCAGGCCGGAGGCTCATGGGAGAGGCAGGAGGAAAATCACTGTGTTGAGTCCTTCACTTGGGTTAGTCTCAAAATTCTCATTAGTTACAAAACAAAAGGGATCACGATCAGCAGCCCGGAAAACCCCATCTCCCAGACCCTCAGGATCGCGCTGAACAGAATGGTCCCCGAATGGTCCCTGAGGACGGTGTCTTGCAGAGCAGGAACGTAAACATTTAACGGTAGGACGACACGCTTCCCCTCGAAATCTTCACAAAAGTGTGTACAAGAAAATATGTACGTAAGCACTTCAAAAAGTTTCAAACAGCCTTTAAAAAGTATGTACAGGATTTAAACCCCCTCCCTGGGAGCAGAAGCTACACTGAGGAAGGCATGGGTCACGGAGACGCCAGCTCCTCCCGCTGTGGGTCCCACACTCAGGGCCGGCCTCACGCGGGAAGGGTGGGGGATGCACCCAGCCCTCTCCAGAAACTGAGCAGAACAAAACCAGCTTGCCAGCCACCAGCAAGCCCCTGCTTTCAATGGCGCCTCGCTTGGATTTCCGTGCAGAGGTTTTAGGGAGGACGCTCAGGCCGAGAGCAGAAGCTTTGCCGCTGAGGAAGGCTTTTGGGTGAGACATTTATTGTCAACATGGAAGGACAGGTCGAGTCACTCTGACCCCTCTGAATTTCAGTTGACTGATCTGGCGTGGAATTCCGGCAGCTGGAGGCCATGCTCCGGGGACCCACGGGGGTGAGCGGGGAAGGGGGTTGGGAGTCAGCGGGACAAAACAGCTCCCAGCCCGTTTCTCACTTTGCTTTTTTAGAAATGCAAAAAAAGTCAGATTTAAAATGTTAAAAAAACAGCTGATCTGGACACAAGGCAGACCCAGGTTCTAACCCAGCTACAGAAAGGAAGTGGTCGTGCCATTTAGACAGAGGTGTTCACAGACACACACAGATTGGTGTGTCCCCAGAGGGTGCACGGAGGGCAGAAAAACAGACAGTGGAAAGATTCGGGCCTGGACGAGCCTCGACCTAGCCCTCCTCCTCCTCCTCTTCCTCCTCCTCCTCCTCAAAGTGGGCTTGCTTCTTCCGGACGTTCCAGTGCAGGCACTGGGCGAGGCTCTCAAACCAGTCGCTCACGGGGTCCCGCACACAGATGGAGGGCAGCGGGTAGCATGAGGTAGTGATGCTGATGCTGAGGCAGAGACGAGCCTGAGCCGGGGCTCCCAGGAGGGCCCCCCAGACCCTCCCTCCCCAGGGGCTCCCCGCCAACACCCTCCCTCCCCAGGAATGACTGGCTCTGTCCCTCCCCAAGGCAGGCTTCAGGGGTGCCCCATGGGTGTTGGGAATAACCACCCCAGGTCCTGGAGGGGATGGCGCAGGAAGCTGACAGACTGCCCCGGGGCCCTCAAGGGTGAGGTCCCAGGAGGAGGAGGTGGGCAGCTGTGCCAGAGGGGACACCCTAGGGCCTCTGCTGGGACCAGGCCTGCATGTGCCACTGTAGGTGTGAACCACTGCCCCTGGCACGGGTCCCCCGACTGTAATGCTCTGAGGCCCGGGACTCAAGCCCTCTGGTGCTCTAGGGGACAAGCTGTGTCCCCAGGCCAATCCCAAGAGGGTGGGCACTGCCTGGCCCAGGGAGGAGGTCGGCTGCGATGCCCAGTGGGCCTGTAGCCCACACCTGTCTCCGTGGCGGATCTCTTGTCTCTTCCGTCCGTCAAAGGACACCCATGCCGTGTTCCTTGCTTCAGGTGACAGCATGATCTGAGGGTCAAGCAGGGAGAGGTGTGGGCACCCAGCTGTAGGGAGGACGCTTCTTGGCGCCCACCCCTGGGTGCTCGGCCGAGGCCGAAGATTGGGCAGCGGCGACCTTGCCTTGTGGATGGCGGCCTGCACATCCGATAGGTGCCGGCCCAGCTCCGCGCCGCCAGAGGCCAGCGATGGCGGGAAGCCCCTTCAGACCCGGGCCCCGGGCACCTCGGTGGACAGAGCTTGGGCCCCAAGCAAGGCAGGGCTTGCATCTGAGGGGGTAAGGGACGGCCCCAGGATGCCGAGGCCGCGTCTGAGGCTGGAGCCAGCGCAGCAGGGCCGGGGGCTAGGTCCCGGCTTTGCGTTGCACGGGATCAAATGACTCACAAACTGGAAAAGGAGGAGCGTCGCTGGCTCTGACCTTCAGCTCGACCCCTGCGGGGACCACGATGGGCCGGAAGGACAGCGAGTGGGGGCAGATGGGCGTGATCATGATGGCCGGCACGTTGGGGTGGATCATGGAGGCCCCGGCCGCGGCCGCATACGCCGTGCTGCCCGTCGGGGTCGACACGATCACTCCTGACAGGGACAGGCGCAGGCGTCACTCCCGCCCGAGGACGCTCGGGGCCCCAGGACAGCGCAGCGGGCCTTACCGTCGCCCTGCACCGTGGTGATGAGGTGTCCGTCCAGGTAGACGTCCACGTTAGACAGGTAGGAGGAGGGGCCTCTGTCGATCACCACCTCGTTCAGGACCTGGAGGGCAGCGGCACGGCACACTCAGGGTGGGGGCGCCCGTGCACCTCACAGACACCCCCATCTCACCCAGGCTCTCCGGAAGGTCCCCCCACCCGGGACCCTTGATGAGGCTGGAACCACCCACCCACCTGGTACTGCATGGCCTGCTTCTCAACATCCATGTCCAGACCCACAGGCCGCGAGCCGTTCTCACCCAGCCCGTTGTGCACTGCCGTCTTCTTTTCCCGGAGCTCCTTCACCACCCTGACCTTCAGCCGGCTCCGGAGGACAACAGCTGCGTTCCCTGAGGTCCGGCGGGGTCAGAGGGCATGGATCCATCAGGGAGGCTGGCGGGGTCAGGGAACCCAGCCCAGGGAGGCCAGCAGGGTGAGGGGCTGTTTCTTCTCCTAAGTTGACACTTCTGTGCCTTTTTTTTGGAGACAGTCTCACTCTGTTACCAGGCTGGAGTGTAGTGGTGGCTCACTGCAACCTCCACCTGCCAGGTTCCAGCGATTCCCCTACCTCAGCCTCCCAAGCAGCTGGGACTGCAGGCGCGCATCACCACGCCCGGCTAAGTTCTGCATTTTCAGTAGAGACGGGGTTTCACCATGTTGGCCTGGGGTCTCAATCTCTTGACCTCGTGATCCACCCGCCTCAGCCTCCCACAGTGCTGGGATTACAGGCGTGAGCCACCGTGCCTGGTCAACACCTGTGCGCCTTCACAGAGTGAGAACCTGCTCACTTCTAGCCAACAGACAACGGCAGCTTGAACCCGTGATCTGCTGAAACTTCTCAGTGTTAGTAAAAAAGGTTTGACCCACTCGATTTAGAAATCCCTGAATCTGGAAACCTTTAAGTGTTGCCATATGCATCATTAAATAAAAACAACCCCCCCAACCAAGCAAGACGGCATGATCAGAGCTGCTGATGGTTCCCGAACATTCGAACTCACCCTCTATCACCTGAGTAACTTGGGACTGAAAGTTCTCAAAGCTGAACGGGGTCAGGAAGCCCAGGGAGCCCAGGTGGAAGGCCATGACGGGAGGCACACTGCCCTGTGAGTCAGCAGAGAAGCACTCAGCGCCCACACCCCCAGCTTGCCACCAGCACCTCAGGAGGAACCCAGCTCTGGGGACAGCAACCCGACCCTCTGCAGGAGGGACTGGCCATGTGGACAGAGTGGAGGGGGACATCCCAGGCCAGGGTGGGCAGGGCCATCAGGGCCGAGGTTGGTGGGGGGAGCTGGGGAGAAGCAAAGGCACCAGGCTGAGCAGACCCTGCGGCGTGGAGGGCGGGGGAGGCGGATGGGAGGCAGCCTTGGGGTCAGAGCCTCGAGTTCCACAGGTGCTAATGAGGAGAGCAGGGCGGGCCGTGGGTACTTCCAAATGGCACGGACAAGCAGTGGGCCAAGGGCAGAGCCAGGGTCCCCTGCACAGAGTGGCCCTACAGCCCCAGGGAGAGCCGCGCAGTTGAGAAACCAGGGAGAGGAGCTCCAGGGAGGTCCGGAGGGGATGGGCCAGCAGGGGAGGGCTGTTCCCTGGTACCCGCTTGCCCTGCACCCCTCACTCTTGTCCCAGGCGGGCTCTGGCCACCCCCAGCTGTAGCACTGCGTCCACACCGCCCCTGGCCCCGCTGTGCTAGGCCGCTCTAGGTGACTGCTCTCTCGTAAAGCTACGGGAGTGAAAGCGGTGAAGCCATGCACTGCAAGCCCCTCTACACACGGCACGGCCGGAAGCTGGCGTGTGCTGGGAATGCCAAGGCCTCACCTGGAAGAGTGAGGAAGCGTACAGCAGCGTCCCGTCCCCCCCCAGGCAGATGATGAAGTCGATCCGATTGGAGATGTCATCGTAATCTAGGAAACAAAACGCAGGCGTCACTCGGGGGCCCCTCCCTGGCGCAGTGCTGGAAGCTTCCATCAGGTGGGGAACCGTGCCGGAGAAGCCGAGGACACTCTGCCGACAGCGCACCTTCTCGGAAGGTGCAGAACTTCTTCTTCACTGCCCCAAAGCTTTCATCGCTGGCGATAGCAGGGTCTTCTAGCACTTTCTTTTCCACATACACGATCATGTTGTTTTCCTGGAAGCAAAGCGCCCACCTGCTCATTCCACGTGCAGACCCTGCCCTCTCGCCGGGAGGTTCCTGACTTACGGGCACTGGCGTAAGTCAGGAACCAGAGCCCTGGCACCATGGCCTGCATGCCTGCTCCTCCCAAGCTCACACTGAAACGTAAGTGCCAACGTGCCGGGATTAAGATGCGAGACCTTTAAGGGATGGTTGGGTGGCAGAGGCTCCCCCTCAGGAATCTACTAACACTGTGACTTCAAGAGTGGGCTTCCAGCCCTGGCCCCCAACCCCCAACGCCTGCTCCTCTGCAGAGAAGGCACAGCAGGAAGGCCTCTCAAGAACTAATGCTGTTATACACTGTGGTTTCAGGAGTGGGCTTCCCGGCTCTGATCTCCCTCCCCATGCCTGCTCTTCTGCCCTCGCCAGATGCGGCCCCTTGATCTTGGACTTCCCAGCCTCCAGGGCTGTGACCCCCTGGGTCACTGCTGGCCTCCCAGTCTGGTGCTTTTCACGGCAGCCCACACAAACCCAGATACCCTGGGCAGACCCCGCTCCGTCCAGTTCCAGACAAGCAGCTGTTTCCCAGCAGCTGAGACGGTTCCCATGGTCTCATGGGTGGTGATGCGCACGGAGGCCCCCCGACTCTGTGTGCACCCCAGGACCCCTCTCCCTCCAGGGCCCCCCCCCAGCCCGCGTGCCTCCATGAGGTATGTGCAGAGCTCCTTGAATGGCTGCAGCAGGCTGGCATCTCTCATCTTCTTGATGACAAGGACGCTCTTCGGAGCCTTGTTCCACGTCAGCCGCTGGCTTGCGGGGTCCTGAATGTGCCTTGGGGAGGAAGACACGTGGGCGGTGATTCCCTTGAAAAGGAGGTGCAGGACTTAGAAAAGAAACAAGTCCTTAAAAAGGTGTTTTCAGCTCCCAAGGAAATGCGCTCAACGGCGGCCACGGCCCAGGCTAAGGGTTGCACCGGCACCCCCAGCCACCTGGTGCTGGAGCCTGGGCACAGAGACAGGTCGAGGTCAGCAGGGTCCAGAGTGACGGTCTCTCAGCTGCTTGGCCCACTGCACGCAGGCTCAGGCCCACACGCCCTGCCCGGGGACCGCTGCCCTCCACAACCCCCAGCCGCCTGCCTGCCTGGCTGCACAGTGACAGTCTTGGGGTGGAAATGACCACAGAAGCTCACGGCGGGGCCACCCTTTGCTTGGTGCCCTCCTCAGGCCCCCGAGAAAACCCAAACCATGATGTGGAGACTCTGCCCCTAGGATCCCCTGCACATGACCCCAGGTGAGACCCAGGACCCTCAAGGGCGGGCTTCCTGCCCTGCAGGCAGCTCACTACACCCCTGCATGAACGGACTTTAACCTGACTTACTCTCCCTCACGTGGCTGCCTGTGCTGTGCTGGCTCCGACCCGACCACTGTCCCTGGTGTCTCCACAGGCAGGGCCTGCCCCGGTGGGATTCCCATGACCGCATTAGTCACAGAAAACACCTCAGCCCAGCCCAGAACTGGGAACACACATCAAGGAGCCCACTCCTATTCCAGAAGCCAAGGGAGGGTGCAGCGTGGACAGCCATCAGTCAGTGCTCACTGCCCATCCTCAGCCCCACAGGGCAAGCTCTTACACCAGAGCGCCGGTCAGTTGGTTCAAGTTCCCCAATCGAGAAAGCCGCTACCCACCATGCCTCTGCCCAGCAGTGACTTATCCGAGAGCGTGACTGTCCCACTAACAACCCCCAGAACCACAACACAAACACCGACAGGGCCACAGATCACAGCCCATCTCTTCTGACCTTTGGAAGCCGGTCGGCACTCACTTACCCTGTGCAGGCACTGCTGGGGGGTGTAAGGTCACTCATGCCATCCCCTATGAGCTCAACGCCTGCCCCGGGTCACACACGTGGCACAAGAGGTGGCCCCTGCCTGCTGGGAGCCGGCCGGCGTGTCCACGGCATCTGGGCCACGCTTGGCAAACACGTGGCCTCTCCAGTGGCATGCTCCTGACTGTGCTCACACTAGAATCCTAAGTTCTGCATACTCAAAACTGAAAGCAAAACACAACTGTGATGTGACTTGGTAAAGCTGTAAAAGCAACTAAGTCAAAAGAGCTTCCCAAACTTTAAAAAATCAAACAAAACAAAACATAGTTTCCTCATTGGTCACATGGTCCTCTTGCCTAATCCCTACTGAAAAAAAGTCCCCAGAATCGTGGTTAGCAGCAGAGGCCACACTTCAGCTCCCTGGTCCTCGCTGAGCCGGGCAGGACCGAGCCCTCTGTTCCCGTGTCCTCAGACCTCATGGCCAAGCCTCCAGCCTCTTCCCAGCCCTGTGCCAGCCCCACTCAGCCCTGCGGAACCGGCTCTGCCCCAGGGAAGGCGTCCTCAGGCCACAGTCAGGTGGAAGGGCGTTCACGCCCAGCCCTTGCGACATTCTGCTTGGCTCGGCCCGGCCCTGTGCAGGTGGCTCACAGTCCTCGGCAGGGTCAGCCAGCACAGCCCCGCCCTGCACACGGCTCACCCTGCTCTCTTGCCCTCTGTCACCACTGACCCGGCAGCCCAGCCTGCACCCATTCCAGCCTGAGGCTCAGCCGAGCCCAGCCAGAGCCACCGGCAGCAGCGTCGTGCATAGGCCTAGGCACGCACCCGTGTGTGACCATAAACCAGTGCCTCGACTTCCTCCTGGGTCACCTGCAAAGCGGGACGCTAACTCTTGCAGGCACACATGGCTGTGGATATTGGATGGGAGGGCAGGAGGTGGCGTGAAGCCAACACGGCCATAGCCTGGCCAGCTCTGACTCAGACTGCGTCACCCATAGGTGGCCCACACACAAACACAGGCACTCACGCACCTCCACAACACACGCCCCCCTCCATGCTGCACGCCCTCTGCCACACGCACCCCTCCATGTGACAAGCCCTCCATGCGACAAGCCCACCATGCGACAAGCCCTCTGCCATAAGCTCCCGCCACATGCGCCCCGCCATATGCAACCTCCGCCACACGCCGCCTCTGCGACACGCACCCCTCCATGCCACATGCCCTCGGCCACGCGTGCCCCTCCACAAGCTCTTTGCCATCCGCGCCCCTCGCCACACGTGGCCGCCGGTTCCCTGGACAGTAAACCAGGAAGCAGGCCTTCCTGCCAGCCCCACAGGGTCCTGCTCTGGACCATCAGGGAATACCACAGGCTGAAATGCGTGCAAAGCGCTGCCCTCCACTGCAGCCTTGGGACGCCGACGTGAGTGTGTCCCCAGGTTACGATCCCAGACACACAGAGCCCAAGGGAGCCGTGCTCCCACAGGAGCCGAGAAAGCTGCATGCCTCAGTGCTGCTGGGCTGTCTGGCCTTGAGCAGGTAGGGGACCACCCAGTGCATCCTGGTCTCAGGGCTGGGGCAGAATGTGCCCCTCCGGCGGCCCTGTCCCGGCCCGAGTGACTGATGGCCGACGAAGGCAATGGCCGAGATGCGAGCCAGGACCAGGAAGTGCAGGGAGGGCACGGGGCAGTGGGGGAGAGGCCTGGTGGCCGCCAGGGACAGCGTAAGCACGGGACGGCAGGACAGGCCCACAGCAGGGCCAGGGGGACAGTGGAGCGATCTGGGTCACCCACGTGGCTGCTGTGTAGGGAAGGGAGGGTGAGGCCGCAGCAGGCAGTCCTGACCATCTGCCGTGGTCATTTCCGCCTGCCACCGTCACTGTCACCGAGGAGCCAGGCAGGTCAGTGTCTGGGGGCCATGAAGGGCAGCAGTGTGTGCAGGTGGGGTGACGGTCAGGACCCACGGCAGAGGCGGCCGGGTAACGGTGCAGGGGGCTGCTTGTACTTTACTGTCAAAGTATAGACGGACTAGATGGGGGGAAGCAAATGGGTCGGGCCCCGCCTGGGGCATTCGGCAGCAGTGGAGGGTCACAGACACTCCTCGCCAGAGTGACTTCCGCCCTAAGGGTCTGCCCTGAGCAACTGGAGGCGGCAAGGCCGGCCACCTTCGTGCCCAGGACTCACACGCCGCCTTGCTCACAGTGTAAAGAGCAGCTCCTTGATGACTCAGAGGCCTCCCCGGACCTGACTTTGTGACAGCCCAGGAGGCTACAGAACAGGTTCCGCCAGACCTGACCTTCAGTGACAGCCCAGGGCTGGGGTCTCATTCCCCGGTGCGTCACCAGCTTCCACAGCGCAGGCGACGCACACACAGCGCGGGCGCCTGTCAGCGAAGTGCCATGCGGCGGCCGCCCCACTTCACAGGGCCATGTTGCTTTCTGGCAAGTTGCCCAGCAGCCCTCGCACGGCAGCACTGGGCCTTTCCGCATGGTCCTGCCGTGCAGCAAGTGGTGTCCACGACTCCCTGAGGGAGGAGGCACAGAGGCCTGAGAGCCCGCCCGCCTCGGCCACTCAAGTGCTGGGATAACAGGCATGAGCCACTGCACCCAGCCAATTTTTCTATTTTTTGTAGAGATAGGCTTTCACCATGTTGCCCAGGCTGGTCTCAAACTCATGGGCCCAAGTGATCTGCTGCCTCGGCCTCCACAGTACTGGGAATACAGGTGTGAGCCACTGTGCACCGCCAGGATTCTAAAGGCCGACTAACATGATTACTGGTGAAACCGCGTGGGGGGTTGGGGTTTTTTACCCAGGCTGGCGTGCAATGGCGCGATCTCGGCTCACCACAACCTCCGCCTCCTGAGTTCCGGCAATTCTCCTGCCTCAGCCTCCTGAGTAGCTGGGATTACAGGCACGCGCCACTATGCCCAGCTGGTTTTTTGTATTTTTAGTAGAGACGGGGTTTCACCATGTTGACCAGGATGGTCTCGATCTCTTGACCTCGTGATCCACCCGCCTCGGCCTCCCAAGGTGCTGGGATTACAGGCTTGAGCCACCGCGCCCGGCATAGGATTCTAATTCTTTACACAAAAACCACAGATGTCAGGTTGATCACTGTGGTGTTTTTCCCGTAAGACACTATGCTGCGCCTTTACGTAGAACGTGTTGACAAAACTGTCAAACAGCAACACAGCCCACCCTAGAGCTCTTACTCTTAGAAACTAAAAAGCAGCCCCGCGTGTCTTATGTTGATGGCCACTGATGCCACCATGCCCGTGGGCTGTGACCTGGTCTCCAGGCTACCTGGTGTCCACTGCTCACGACCCCGGGTCGCCTGCCGTCCATGTTCTCAAAGCCGTCAGAGAAGCCATGGCTGGGGAGCTCTCTCTCAGATTCCTGTGCTCAGGGGGTTCAGGACAATGTCCATGTGGCTTTTTGTTCAAATGACCTAAAACATGTACTTCTCATGTGAAGGGTGGGAATCTGCCTCAACACGGCGATCCCACAACTCTGCGCACATCCCAACGACTCCCGCCCGCCCGTGGCCCCAGCACTCACACGACGGTCTGGGGCTCTCCCCTCCCAAGAACCCCCCTCCTGGGACCTGGCACTCACATGATGGTCTGTGGGTTCTGCAGCACGCAGGCCTTTGGTCCAAAAGTGGTCACCGGGCATGGCCCATGGAGAGAGCGTGTCCTCCTGCAGGGAGAAGACAGTGTCAGGGCTGCCAGGGCCTGAAACCAGACACACAGGGACAGCCACAGATACAGAGGACGGTATAAGCTAAGGCATACATGCAACTCTAATGACGCCAACACCATCTGCCCAGCAGCCACACAGCAGCCCTGGAAGGTTCTGCCCAGGTCTGTGGCTGCACTGGAGCGGCACCCGTGAGGAGCATGCACGCTGCCATGCCCCACAGATCATGACCCAAGCCAGGGAGAGAGACAGCCCGAGCATGGTAAACTGCACCGCCAGGGCCAGCCTGGGGCTCAGAACTCCTGTGGTGTCTCCCCGGGGCACTATCTGGGCCTGCATCTGGTACTCAAACCTTAGACTACACCTCTAAAGAGTCTAGATTACAATCCTAACAAGGAGCTGAGATTGCAGACTGAGCCGCTGCGCCTGGCCAGGAAATGTGCTCTACAGAAGTCACTGGGGTGTGAGGGGACCTCCCACTGGGCTCTGCTCATCTTGGGTGTCTGCACGGTGACACAGGGCTGGTCATGAGGGAGGCCCAAGTCATGAGCGTGGCCTTGGGTGGCCCAGCCGTCTCAGCCCCATGTGTTGGGCAAGCGGCTCCTTCCTGTGCCCGGAGCGCCCACAGCTGACACAGGCGTGGCCATTGGTGGCTCACACCTCTAATCTCAGCACTCTGGGAGGCTGAGGCGGGCGTATCAGGAGGTCAGGAGTTGGAGACCAGCCTGGCTAACACGGTGAAACCCCATCTCTACGAAAATCACAAAAATTAGCGAGGTGCGGTGGTGGGCACCTGTAGTCCCAGCTACTTGTGAGGCTGAGGCAGGAGAATCACTTGAACCCAGGAGGGGGACATTGCAGTGAGCTGAGATCGCACCACTGCACTACAGCCTGGGTGACAGAGAGAAACTCCATCTCAAAAAAAAAAAAAAAAACAAGTAAAGTACATTACCAAGTAAGAACGTTACCTGCTTAGGAACTTAAAAGATGATTGGGGAAAACAGTGTTTTCTAAGTGGGTGTTGGGATTTAATGTTTGCTTCCCAAGGACAGGCTGTGCTTGGGCATATCTGCCACCTTCTCTCCTACCTCACCCTGAAGGTGCCTGTCACTCATGACGGAGGCGGCCTCTGACCCATGGCTGCTGTCATCAGGTTCAGAGTGAAACAGAAGTGGTGCATTATGCCAAAGAACCCACAGGAAAAAAAGCAAAAGCGATTCTGTCAAGAGCGTGCAGTCACTGCGCCGGCGTGGTCTGGAGGTGGAGACGGTGAACCACGCAGACGTTGCCTCTGAGGAGCGCTGAGTGACGCAGCACCCGCAGGGTGAAGTCAGCCACCAGCCCTCGCAGTGACTGTAGACAGAGAACTTGGTAGCAGCCTGTTTCCCGTTGCTGCCGCCAAGCGGAGGCGCTGCAGGCTCTCCCATCTCACCGGGAAAGACCCTGCACTTTCTGAGGCTCCTTTCACCACAAAGTGCCGCTTGCATTTGATAGTCGTGATCCTTGTGGTGGACGCAGTGCTGGCTCTGGCAAGCTTCCCCTGAAACTCACCACATTTACTGTCACCAGAACCGAGAGCAACATCCCCAGGCACCATCACGCTGCCTTGTCCTGCGAAGCCTGGGGCATTGTTGCTCAAGCGGCGTTGTGCAAGAGCAGGCGCTGTGGGCGCTCCGGGCACAGGAGGGAGCCGCTTGCCCGACACGTGGGGCTGAGAGGGCTGGGCCGCCCAAGGCCACGCTCATGACTGGGCCTCCTTCATGACCAGCCCTGTGTCACCGTGCAGACACCCCAGCCTTCGCCTGTTCACCTCCCAAGACAAGCAGAGCCCAGAGGGAGGTCCCCTCACACCCCAGTGACTTCTGTAGCACATATGTTTCCTGGCCGGGCACGGTGGCTCACGCCTGTAATCCCAGCACTTTGGGAGGCTGAGTCAAGTGGATCACCTGAGGTCAGGAGTTGAAGATCAGCCTGGCCAACATGGTGAAAC